GACAAAGATCGCCAGGTCCTTCCCCGAAGCAGAGGTGCCCTTACCCTCCTGTGTCCGTTCCAGCCGGGCCCACCCGGTTCTGGCCCACCCTGGCAGCGCAGCTCGGGGGGCAGAGGAGGAGGAGGAGGACGACGACGACTACAACGACGACGATGTGCCCGGAGGCCCGGCCCACTTGGCCCAAGCAGACAGCGCGCACCTGAGGATGAGCCACTGTCTGCGTGTGCCAGGCCCCTTCTGGGGTGGGGCGGGCTCAGGAGCCCCAGACCCTGCCAAGGTGGCTTTCTCCTACCGGGCCGGGTGGAGTGGCACGGCCCGTCAGCGCAGCGCTCTGCACGGCCTGCTGCAGCGCCAGCACTGCTTGCACCTGGCTCGCAACTACAGCCGCCGTCTTAAGGCGGCTTCTGACTTCGTCTGCCGCTTGATGGTGGCCGAGCGCTGTCTTTTGCCACCGGTCGGCAGGCAGAGTGGTGGCAGGGGCCGCCTGCTGCGAGGACTCTGCCAGGAGCTGGCGGTCCACACCTCTCACTGGGACTGCCTGCAGTGCCACATGCGCAGGGACCCCTGGCTGGGGCCTGTGCTGCTTCAGCAGCCCGAGGTGGTGCAGCGCATGAAGCAGTCCCTCTTCCTGCTGGCCCTGCATGCGCTTTGCCTGCTGGAGAGCTGCCTGGTGGCCCTGTTGCAAAACTGGGCCTGTGGCCCCCCCACCTTGCTCTCAGAGGTGTTCCAGGGACTGGAGAGCTACAACCAGGGGCTGAGTGAGTGGGCACTGCAGGAGGCCAAGCTGGGGCCTGGGGCTTCGGGGCAACAAGGGCTGTGGGGGGGCCGTGCCTTCTCTGTGGAGAGGGTGCTGGCCATCTTGGCAGCTGAAAGAGGACGCCTGGCAGGCGAGAGACTGTCGCTGCTCCTCCCTTGGCAGCAGGCGGGGACCAGCGATCTGAAGCCAGCAGCTGATGGCACTTCTGGGGCAGGCGAGGGCCTCCCTGCGCACCTGGAGACCGTGTGCCGGGAGGAGGAGGCGGCGGTCACGGCGCTGCTGCAAGAACTGCTTGCGTCCACCGACGGCCTGGGACATCGCCTCCTGCACCGGCCCAAGCAGGAGCAGCCCCCAGAGCCTCTCACTGCAGGCCAGGTCCTGGGCCCCGCCCTGTTGCCCAGCCGGACGTCTCTGGACTGGCTGGACGCAGCTGGGATTCTCTACGCCGAATACCGGCCCCTCTTCTGGAGAGCTGCGTCGACCTCCTTGGCGTGCCAGCTGGAGCTCCGTTCACCCCTGGCTCAGCTTCAGGAGGGGGCCTGGGCTGCCCTGGGCCGGCAGTTGACCCACGCCCTGGACGAGGGTAGGCCGGGGGGCAGGGATGAGAGCCCTTTTCTAAGCCAGGTTCTGCACGGCCGCGGGCACTCCGGCAGGTTCAGTGGGGATGTGAGGAGACGCTTGCGGGGCCTCCGTCTTCGCTGCCCACCTGAGGGTCTGCTCAGGCCAGAGGAATGCCCGCGGTGCCGGATTAAAGCAAGCTAAGAGGTTTGGCGTGAGCAGCCTCTTCGCGTTTTCTGGAGAGATCTGTTCCTTGCCAGTGAAATGTTTTGTGTGATTTGTTGGTTGCGCTCATAGCACGCGGCATTCAGAGTGTTCCCCGGCCAGAAAGGCATGCGATGTGACTTATTCTTCGTCTTGCCCCTGACTGGGGACTTTCTCTGCCTGGAGCTTCTGTTTTGTTCTCTTGTGCCTGGGCAGCTTTGCAACGGGGAGGGTTGTGTTTTGCAGAGAGGACGGACTGTGGAGCGGTGGATGCGTTGCGTGTTGTGACGTCAACCTGCCTCCTCCTGCGTCTGCTTCGTGATGTTGCATCCAATTATGTATAGGGTGGAGTTTGGATAGCTACACGCGTTCTTCGCTTCTTGGCGGACCTCCTTAGGCCTTCCGCTTCCACCGCCCAGATGCCAGGGGTTGCCCTTTCTGGGAGCCTTCAGTCCCAGGAGGGGCCCACCAGCTGCTCTCAAGTTCTGGCTCCCCTCATCATCTCTGGGGGGAGCAAAGGGTCTGCCTGCCTGCAGGCTGAAACCGCCATGAACGTCCATTTCTGCTTCCAGCTTGCCTGCCTCTGGAGGCTGCCGGGGAACTGAAGGATGCGGCGCTTCATCTGCTTAAGCTTGACATCCTCTGGCGATGGGACCCAGGTGTGGCAGCTTTGCTGGGCCAGGGAGTCTGGAGGGGACCTGTGGCAGCCTGGTGTCATGTTGGCTCTGGATGGGCTGGTTCCCCTCCATCTGGGAGCCACCAGGGTTTCTGGTGCAGAGAGTATTTGGAGGGCACCACAGCTGTATTCCAACCCCTCTTTGCCCAGGATTCTGCCACGCTCTGGGCACCAGCCTTGTGGACAAATGCTTGCCCAAGCCCACCACTGTGGCCTGCAGCCAGACAGGGCAGCTCTTGCAGCGCCTCTTCCTGCTCCTGGCCTTCAGTATGAGATGCCTGGATACCCAGCCCTGCAGTGGTGACCCAGGTGGGCCTTTCAGCTTGCTCTTCACCTTGGTATTGGGGAGAGGCAAGCAGGGAGGGCCCTTTCCACACTGCTGTGCGGGCTGAGCTGGTTTCTCTTTCTCACAGGGAATCGCCTTCTCCCTGCCAGCCTGCCCCTGCAGCTGCTTTCCCTTGCAGTGGCTACCAGCCATGCCTCTTCCTACTGGGCCACGAGCAAGGCCTACCAGTACTTGGCCTCCTGGTCCCTCAGCCAATTTCTTCTTGTGACGCAAGGAGATTTGCAGGTAAGCAACTGAACCTACCCTGAGCCCTCCTGACCCTGGGCTGACAGAAGAAGGCATCAGTTTTCCTTGCTTGCATAGTATCCCATTGACCCTGGAGGAGATGCCTTCTAGAGCTCACCATTCCAGAGATATGGATTGCTGACTGATCTCACCATGGAAGTGTCCCTGAAGAAGAGAGGGTCTAGAAATTAAGATGAAAGGACTGCCTAGGAGCCCCAAAGGCTGTCCCTTGTTGTAACCCACACAAAGGACTGAAGCTTTTTCTTGCAGCTGCTGAAGACTGAAGCAAAGAAGATGTTGGTGCAGGTGGGCAGAATCTTCTTGGAGGATAAGTGGAAGCAGAGCCCTTTGGCCTCTCATCAGGAGCGGGAGCTGAGCCTGCAACTCCACGCAGCAGCCACCAGCATCCAAGTAAGCCTGTGGCCTTTGGGAGCTGGCGTGAGGAGCCTGTGGCACCTGAGAATTGCTGGACTCCAACTATTGTTGGCTAAGTCAGCTGGGGCTGATGAGAAGTTGAGTCCAACAACATCAGGAGATGTTGCCACAGGCTTCCCACTCCCTGTTGTGCAGGAACCTCAGTCCTAGCAGACCCATAAGGATGCTTGAAGGCCAGCTCTTATCTCCATTGCCTAAAATCTCAGCCATCTTGCTGGAGGGACCTCTGTGCTGCTTCCCCTCATCCCTTCCTCTTACCCCATCATAGCAGCAGCAGCAGAGGGGCAATTCTGCATGTCAGGATCTGCAACAGTTATTTATGGGTGAAGGTCTTCCAGAGATGATAAAAACATCAGAAGAGCCTTGAGCCTGATCGTATCCTTGGCTCATTTAGCTGGCCATCTCAAGGGCCCTGGAAAAGTAGCAGGCCTGGACTGGAGAACAAGAGCCCTCTTCCAGTCCTGGTAATCAGTGTTATGAATCTTGTCATTCATGAGGGAGCAACGGTTATCCGTATTAGAGAACTCAACCCTCCGTGTACCGGCCCCGGCCCCTTTAAAAATCTGTGTCACAGCTGCCAACAGCAAATTCTGTGGTTTAACTTTGGACCACGGGGAAAAGCGTTACCTTGCTTCTTAAGGTGCAGCATTCAGAAACTAGGCAAAACCCCAAAGATGATCTTAGTATAGACTTGTATAGGGACATTATTCTACATTATTGGCCGTTGTGCATCAAGTTCCCTTGTTAATGACTCCAAGAATTGTGTTATGTGCCTTTTTTACAGCAGTCAACACTAGGTTGATCTTTTCATCATGGCGTCAGCGATAGAGCAGATGCCTTCATATCAGCTATGAGTCCGCCGGCAGTGACTTCCATGAGTTACCTGCTGTTGTGAGAAAAATAACGTTTCTGTCATTCCTGATTCTTACTGTACTTAGCATCATTTCAGATCATCTGCTTTGTTGCAAAAATTTAGATAATAGGTTCTGCTGCCATCAGAACACAGCAGCAGTGATGCAGGCTCACTTCAGACGCTGCGCATCTCCAGGTTATTCAAAGACCTGGAGTATGTATGCACGCAGCACTCTTGTGTGGCTGGGATTAACCTTGGTTAGTTTTTTTGTGGCTTAGCATGTTGTGCAAATCCAGCCCATTTTGTTCCTTTAGGACTTATTGTATTGCGTGAACCTGGCCAAGGCATTAACTTTGTAACGAAGCTAAATGC